ACACACACACACAGAGAGAGAGAGAGAGAGAGAGAGAGAGAGAGAGAGAGAGAGAGAGAGTCTGGTTTGCATTTTCTTGTGGGGACTGTAGATTGACTTCCATTTATTTTTTGGAAATTTTATAGCTTAACCGCCTGCTTTGGACGTTATCAGTCCCATAGAATGGCTTCAGACTGTCAGCTGGTTAGTATGARGCATAAAGCCACTAAGGTTAATTTTAGAGAAAATGACCTGGGCTAGGTAAAGTAGACCGGAATAAGGCAGACTGTTGCCTTCCAATGTATTAGTAGGTAAACAGTCTGAAGCCACTCTATGGGACTGATAACTGCTGATAACATCCATTTAATGGACTGATAATATCTGAATCCCCTGGCCTAACCCTGACCATTTACTGTAAAATTAACCTCACCTGACTCTAAAACTAACCTAAACTCAATTCACACCTTGGTCCCAAACCTAACCCCCCACCAGCAATTTGCATTTGGACCCATGGGGACTGGGCATTGGTCCCTACGATGCATGTTCGGTCCCGACGAGGCTGCTTTTTTGGGAAAATTGTCCCCACGATGTAGGAAAAACAAGGCCACACACACACAGAGACACACACACAAACACACAAACAGGATTCTGGTTAAAAGAGTTACAAGTTAAATGTTTTCCAGTGAATGAGTCTGATGTGGACTGAAGGCAGAGGGCCAGGCTGAGCAGTGGAGCATGAGGCAGACAGAGTAAAGCTGTTATTACGTTTCAGCTTCTGTCACTTTTAAACTCAGCTGAAAAGAAACATTTCACATCTGATTTTCTTTTTAGAACAATTACAAGACAGAAGTTTTATTGAACATACTAACTCTATAATATATGATCTTTTTAAACCTGTTCTTAATTTATTTGTGCTGATTTAACATGACACTAGCTTCAAACAACACGTAACCTGATGAATTATTTTCAAACCTCTGGAATTAAAGAGCGTCTTACAGGAAGCCAACCTTTTCTGTATGATCGCTTTGAATCGASTGGAGGAAGTACACGACTGAGAAACATACTGTACATGAGGGGGGGGAGGGGGTCTTTTACCAGCACCATGGTAACTGCTCTGCTGCTATGCTCCTGAGAGGATGTTCAGATGGAGTTTTGTCAGTCCGTGTTAACAGACAATCCCTTCTCATCAGTYGCCTCTAAAAGCTGTGGTTGTTTCATGCATCACTTCTTCATCCTCGTCTTCCTCCTTCATTGTCTGGCTCCAACRAGACTGACAAATATAGAATCCCTCAGTTCCAGCTGTGTGAAAACATGAGGCTCCAGCAGAGTAATTATAGCATGTCTGATTGTTCTGTCCGAGAGGCCAAACCTACTGAATCTTTACTTTTCTATTCTGAATTCAGATTGAGGTTCTGTGGATGAGTTATCAACAATCAGTGTCTCACCTGTTATAGATAAATCTTTTATCTACCTCAGTTTGAAGAGGGTTTAACCTGGGTTAGAATAATGAGATAACTACAACACTGAGCCAGTACACGACTTTTGTCCTAAAACTGCTCCAAAACAAAGGTTATAACTCAGTGTGTGAGATGTTTAATTCTCTGCCTCCTTTAGCAACGGCAACATACAATATGTATTAAATGTGGTCATATAGCAGCTTTAGAGGCGAGGCTGTCTGAATTGGAAGCTCAGGTCCGCACTGTTTAGAAGCCAACAGCTAGCCAGGCTAGCAGTGGTGGGCACAAATCCACTAATTGCAGACCTAAATATTTCATTTGCGCTTTAGCGGTCTTACAAATTTTAATATTTCATAAGCGTAATTGCACTTTCTAAAATTAAAATGAAGTACTGCTAATAACTAATTATCTACCAGTCATCATTATGT